AAAGTCACATTCCTGTCCACCTTCACAAAATAGAGAAATACTTGCTGACAACACCAATATTCTACACTAGGAAAATTAATAAACTTAAACATCAAATTCTCGAGGGCCTCTATATCAAATGCAAGCAACCAACAGTGAACAAATTTTATTACGAGTGTATTAGCAATATTTCAAAGTGAATTTGACTCACATTTAATGCCACAGATTCTCGATTGAATCTAAATCAGGAGAGTTTTCGGGCTAATCTATAGCACTTTGATTTTCTCACTGATATGGCATGCCGGTGTGTTCGTGCAATCGTTACAGTTTTACTTGGGATAACGTCCATCGTAGACAATGGTCGTAGGACAACTAATCGACAGTAGAGACAGTATCTGGGTATGGTAAAAATCTGATTCAATCACGGATGACGCAGTATTTTTTAAAGGCAAACAAATTTCATTCTACAGCCCGAAAATAGCTTCATATTACTGCATGCCACTGCAAGTGGCCTAATCTGAGAGAAAATAGTAATCGATTACACACTGTCACTCCAGTGAGTCTAAAACAGACCGTATGGTGAAAGAAAGGAAAATAACACGGTTGTTTCAATTAATTTGTACAAAGATGTACGTGTTAGATTATACATACACACACAAACACACACACACACACACACACACACACACACACACACACATATATATATATATATATATATATATATATATATATATATATATGTAGAATGTATATTGATTAAAATTTTAACTGACCAGGTCTGTCTGTTTTAAGAATAAGTGGTTCTAGGTATAAAATGGTGTGCTGGGTGCCCTGGTATGCCCTGAAAGATGTCTAGGTGTGCCTTGGCATTCCAGAGAAATATGTGTCCAGATATAAGAAATAAATATATTTACTTTTTTATATTGTGGTACCCGTCTCGTTGCGGATAGACCTCGAGGAAAACTTCAATGATAGGAAGCTTTTGTTTTGCTGTATTGAACTGGTAGGAGTTGCTGGTCGATCTTCCATGCCTAGTTCGTGAAAGTTGATTACTAAAAGGAGCTTCCTGACGCAATAAATTCCCAAGTTGGCATCTACGCGGATGACACCACAACTTACTCTTGCCTCAAAAACAAATCTAGTGTCACTGACAAAACTAACCTGGCCGTGCGTCTCAAAAAGGACTTCCAATCGGTTGTGAACTGGGGCAGGAATTGGCTGGTCAACTTTAATGCCTCAAAAACAAAACTACTCCCTATTAATCACTACAGAGATCCTTCCCTGCTCTCCATTAGAATGTCTGACGCTCAACTTCTCGAGAGCACCTCTCTGCGGCTGCTCAGTCTCACGTTGACTGCTGACCTGAGATGGAACAAATACATTGAGTCAGTTGCTTCGTTCACCGCAAGGAAAGATGGCTCCCTGTGCCGCGCCAAAAGATTTTTCTCCCCGGAATCGATCCTCCAGATCTACAAATCAACAATTCGCCCTTGCGTGGAGTATTGCTGCCATATATGGTCTGGAGCCCTTCTGTTTGCCTCAGGGTTCTTGATAGGCTCCAGAGGCGGATATGCAATATAATTGGCCCTGTTCTGGCATCTCGTCTACAGTCACTTTCTCACAGACGCGCCGTCGCCTCTCTCAGTCTTTTTTACTAAATACTTTCATGGCGATTGCTCCGAGGAGCTGCATTCGCTGGTTCCCAGACTTCATGAATTCAAGCGCCCTACGAGGCTGGCATCCCGCTCTCACCCTTTCACTGTCGAAACTATTAAATGTAGCCGTCTCTTCTACTCTAATGGCTTCATATCTCGCACCTCCCGCCTGTGGAACTCCCTTCCCTATTGCAGTTTCTCTGATAGCTATAATCTCCAACTATTCAAATGTAATGTCAATTGACATCTCCAGTTGCCTTGATCTATCCACTATCCTTCTCCTCATCTTTTCCTCTATCACTCCTATCTGATCTTGCTCCAAATTTTCTGTAACCCCCTTGCGTCCTAGTGGCTTCTCGCCTTGCTTGGGGTGAAACGCCTAAAAAAAATATATTATGTAACTTAAAATGATGACAAGCATTAGGATTGTTTATTTAAATGTCGTCTTATTTTTTAAATTATACATTATTTATCATTTCAAAATTAATTTATCACTAATTTGTTTATAAGCAAATGTGATAAATTAAATTGCCATATATCTACTGTTCGGGGGTTGATGATTAAACATAATGAATTGTTTCTTGGACTGGCTTTTTGGATTTCTATAAAATTATGTATATGTCAATATCTAAAAAAATTTTTCCTTTTATCATATCTTTTTCAATTGGGAACTAAAAAAAGAGAAGGAAAAATATTCTAAATTACCGTGATTAAAATTTTATGATAAATTAAAAAAACATCCTATTTAACTTTTTGCATGTCCGTGAGAATATAAAACTGATGCTATACGAGATGCCAGATCAGATATTTGCCAAAAAAAATTAAATAATTTATTAAATTTTACATGATATTTAACACATTATTGCGGTTAAAAATTTATATGCGGAAGTCTAATTTATTTCATTTTACTTATTCTAAAATTTCCCAAATGGTACGCCTTTTCAATTAATACGCCCTTAATTCTAAACTAAAAAATTTCCAGAAAAATGTATCCATATTTTCAATAAAAAAAATTGTTTTAAATTTATTTTATTAAACTCTCGTTTATTTATTTATGTGAAATAGATTTTTTGCTCTCATCACAATTAAAATGCAAAAAATTTAAAGAACTCTTCAATACTATTGAATATTTTAAGGTTTGCCTATCAAATATACCTCAAATATTGAAGAAATATTAATAGACTCATCAGGCTCATGTTTCTCATAAACACAAAAAAAAATAAACTTTAAATATTTCGTTTATTAATTTCTATTTTACCTCATTTCTTTTCTGCAATATTTAAAATTATTTCACATCTACTCCAGAAAAATTATTGTGATGAAAGTTTGAATAAATATCAGGGCAGGCCTTCCCATCTAGCTTAAATTTTTTTATTAGGACGCATTTAAAAGCTATATATATATATATATATATATATATATATATATATATATATATATATATATATGTGTGTGTGTGTATGTGTGTTAAACATGTGTGTGTGTGTGTGTTGTATGTAAAATTCTGCTGTGTTAATTTTGTGTGTGTGTGTGTATGGGGCGTTTAATGGGGAAGGATCCCGTTTGTGTATGCGTTTGTATATATTAGTTTATAAACAAAACATTTGCTTATACCAGTGGTTCTCAAATGGTAAAATTTTTGGGCGCACTGGTACGCCCTGGAAAATGTCTTATGCGCCCTGACATTCCAGAAATATATATCAGAAACTCTTCAATGTATTGAAAAAGGAAATGAGATTTTGTCTATTAAATATACGCCCAAACGTTGAAGAAATCGCTAAGAGTCATGTTTCTTATAAACACTAGAATGAATAAACTTAAGATATGTTTCATTTTATAATTTCTGTTTGCATTATTTCTTTTTTGCAATATTTGACTTCATTATAACATATTTTTTGTAAATTTGTATATTGTGCGCCTAAAATTGGTTGGAATTCAAGTGAGCCTCGACTTCAAAAACTCAGAGAACCACTGGTTTAAGATGTTGAGTATTATGTTCGAAGTTGGGGATAAACTGTCCGAAGTGCATAATTTTCTCTTTTTTTTATGTATTTTTTTTTTCTATTTCCAGTCATTCATCAAGAAAAAAATGTGACATTTGTAAAATAAAATCATCTTGTTATTCATTAAAAGAATGGACATTTGAAATTATCTAATGTGACGTCATATCTTAACAAATAACCCCAAAAAAAAGGGTGGGATTTATTTATTTTATTTTTATTTAATTTATTTGTTATATTAAATGGTGAAATGTATGAAAAAAAATTTGAAAAAATTTCACATAAATTTCGCCATTATAATCAAAAATAAAAGTTTAAAGATATTCTGGCTGTTTGGTACAAATAACTGAGCTACTGGACACTAGTACGTCGTTCACGACAGGTCACATTTATTAATCAATTCAATTTAAAAAATTTTTTGGCAATAATACTATTTGAGACACTTTTTTGCCTACTGGGGTGAAAAGAATTCAAAACTTTGAGAAGTAATCTTGATCCAAACCCAAACGAGAAATAAGAGATAAACCTTTACTCTTGTTCGAAAGACAGTGGTGGATTGAACCGTGCGATATATGAACCTATTTACTTCAATTATATATATATATATATATAGATCATGAAATGTCATTTTTTTTTTTTAACATATCCATTTTGAAAATCATTTGATCTGACGTGCTATAAAACATAGCTATAGAAAATTCTGGTTATTATGTCCAATTTTTATTTCCAGATTTTTCCTCTGTACAAAAATGGTATAGCAAACCAGACTTTATGATATTTCGTGTTGGATACAGACTTCGATTCCTTTATCGCAGAACACATATTTTAAATGAAAATTTCGAGGACATTCAGGCCGGTGAATGTAAAAAGTATTGTTTATTATAAACATGCATTTAAATATTTGTATATATAAAAATAACTCATAAACAGAAAAAATATTGAAATTAAAAAAAAAACTTAGACCATTTCATAATATATGTTTTTAATTTGTTTAAAAATAAGATAATGCATTCGAAAAGATATTTGAATTCAAAATGGTGTAATCATGTGCAATTTGTAAGATAAAAAACAGTAATTTGACTTTGCTAATCAAAAAAATCCTCTCTAGCTAAATTATTTTTTAGGACGTTAAAAAAAAATGAAATATTTATTTCTCAGACCTTCAGGTCAAATAAAATTGTAATTAATACTGTTTATTATAAACAAAGATGAAATATTTCCTAAATATTTTTAGTATAAAAAAATGAATAAACAGATAATATATTCAAATAATTATCGAACTTAGTCCATTTCATATATATATATATATATATATATATAGATATATATAGATATGAATAAAGTAAAGAGGAAAATTTATCTTATGTCCAGTCTTCCTTTTGTCTTTATTCATATACTCCTTTCACAGATTTTAAATATCTGATTTTTTACATACACATCACAATCTATTCACATCTATCTATCTATCTATCTATCTATCTATCTATCTATCTTTTTTTTTCATTTGGTTATCTATATATATTTTTTTAGCTATGGACCACTCACATTGTTTCATCATTTCTTTTTCTAAATTTTCTATAAGTCTATCTATCTATCTATCATCATCTATCTATCTATCTCATTCATTGATTTTTATATCTATTGATTGTGCCTTATTCATTTATCTATCTATCTATCTATCTATCTATATCCTCTTTTAAAAATAAATTAGTAAACACAAAATCTTCCCATTCTAAGATCTGTCTCTTTCAAAGCCTTGCATGAAAACAAATAACGTTAAAATTAAAAAAAACAAAAGAATAAATTTTTACAAATCGATTTAAATACCCCCTCCCAATAGCTTTTTTTTTTAAAATGAAAAATAAAACAATTATACGCCCTTAACATTTTTTTCTGAAATAAATAAAATAAAATCAACTTATCTTTTTCCAATAAAAAAAAAAGAAAAAATTATAAAGCCATAAAATAACAAAATCCTGCAAAAAAAAAAAAAAAAAAAAAAAAATGTTTAAATATTCAAGATCAAGTGTGGATGGCTCAGCATTTCTTATATAAATTTAAAAAAAAGTTTTGTCAGAAAACCAGTTCCAGGGCTTTAGACGTTGAAGAAATTGACAAACGATTCAAAAAAATTTCTTTGGGCAAAAGAATTGGAAAAAAAATCCTTTCGTAAGGCTAATTGAATGCTGAAATAAAGAAATGTGTTTAAAAACCAGAAAATCAACCAAATATTCTTCTTTAAATGAAGATAGAAATGAAACAAATAAAAACAGTGGGTGGGTGGGGGGTAAAAGACGGAAGTATATTCGAGCTTCTAAAGAAAGTAATAAATAACAGATAAATAAAAGGAAAGGTTTGACTGGTTCTATTAATATATGAATTTGGCAAGATTGAAAAAAAATATTCTTTCAAAAATATCATCACCATCATAATCATCATCATCATCATCATCATCATTAACATCATCATCATCATCATAATCATCATCATCATCATAGTCATAATCATCATCATCATAATCATCATCATCATCATAATCAAGATCATCATCCATCTTGTATTCAAAAACTATCAAAAAAAAAAAATTTTGATCTGTAGCCTTTTTCCTCTTCATAATTCTTAGTTCATGTCGAAAGTTGTTAATATATTTATCTATATCGATCTATCTCAGTGAATTCATATCTATCTATCTATCTATCTATCTATCTATCTATCTGTTATGGTCCGGTTCCTTGTACCACGGTGATAGTCCAAGGTAGAACCAATAAAGAAGAACTCAAACACAGGTATGGAATAACACAGATATATTACAAACAGGAATATATACAGAGAAGTAGAAGTGTTAGTAATGAACAATCAGGTTTAGTAGAGAGAACAATGTAGTCTCAACCAGTATCACTATTCCAATGTTTTGCAGTAATTGTATGAACATGACTCTGTTTCGGACTGCCTCTGACTCGACTTGAACTACTGACTCCTTGCCTACTCCTGAGGCGCAGTATTTATTAAGTATGTAATAGTCCATTACTATTATTATTATGGGTAAGATCCCATAACACTATCTATCTCATTCTGTTCAAATCTATCTATCTATCTATCTATCTATCTATCTATCTATCTATCTATCTATCTATCTATCTATCTCAGTCTGTTCAAATCTATCAATCTATCTCATTCTGTTCAAATCTATCTATCTATCTATCTATCTATCTATCTATCTATCTATCTATCTAATTCTCTTATAATCTATTTTTTTTCTTTTTTTTATAGAAATAAAGTCACACGTTTTGTCTATTGAAAAAAGTTTTAACAAACTAACTATAAACAATTTTTAGCTATCCTCTGCCAGCCGCAATAATGGAGAAAGCATTACCTCGAATCATGCAAGAGCCAATCCGTTTCGCGAGGCTCGTCTCTTAATCGAGACGCAATCGCGCCAATCCTCCGAAGGAACGCCATCGAACGAGTTCCAATAACCCCTGAAGTCTCCACTGCCATTAGGAGTAAAAAGAAACTATCAGTAAGAGAAAAATATTTAAAATATTTTTTTCATCTCTGCGTCCCGGGCGACGGATCCCGGCTCAACCGCGGACCTGATCAAATTACCAGCCGAAAATGTATCCGCACAGGTCGCATCCTAAATGAACGACCTGATATATCTATTTATCTATCTATGTATCGATCTCATTCTGTTCAAATCTATCTATCTATCTATCTATCTATCTATCTATCTATCTATCTATCTATCTATCTATCTATCTAAGCCTACACAGAAAGAAACGTTATGGCGTTCCGAATTCAAGGAAAGAAATGTGTTTCTTTATGTGTCTGCTTAAATAATGAATCATTTGACTCTTCCGCTAAGCTGGCGTTGAAAGAAAAGAATGAAAATGGATGACTTTTAAAAAAACTGTTAATATTTATTCTGTATCTTTTCTTTATAATTCTTAGTTCATGTTGGGCCTTATTGATATATCTCCGGGCTTCTCCGTATTGAACCTAAGGTAAATCACCATCTTATTTTTAGAACGGCATGAAAGCAAACGATTCATATAGTCTTTTCCGAAATGTATTTAAGGCAAATGCTTATTCAATATTTTTTTTCAAAATGGCTTGGAAACAAACGAAAATAAAGTCGAGTATTTACCTTAAATTCAGTACAGAAAAGCCAGAAGAAGATATAAATAAATAAAAATTCGACATGAACTAAAATTTATAATTGCTATTTTTTTCCCTGTTTTTTTATTTTATTTTCTTAATCAGTGAAATTAATAAACAAATGTTATTGGCATTAAAATAATATTGGGTTTGTCGGTTGGTACGTTTTCTTCTTTCCCTCCATTATCAGTGTAACATTGTGAGACTATCATCATCATCATCATCATCCTGATCATCATCATCCTGATCATCATCATCCTGATCATCATCATCATCCTCCTGATCATCATCATTATCACCCTTATCATCATCATCCTCCTGATGACCATCATCATCATCGTGATTCTCCTCCTCATCATCATCATCCTGATCATCATCATCATCATGATCATCATGATCATGATCATCATCATCATCATCGTGATCCTCATCATCATCATCATCATCATCATCATCATCATCCTGATCATCATCATCATCCTGATCATCATCATCATCATCATCATCCTGATCATCATCATCATCATCATCAAAACTTTTTTCGATTTTTAGGTCATGAATTAACATGTTCTCTCATCTTCAGTGACATTGTCTACTGAGTGGACAATATTTATCCAGCCTTCTCTGTCCTCTGCGAGTTTTCGGATTCGTTGCAGGTCTTCTCCAAAGGAAAAAGTGAGATCTTTCTCTGTTGTTCTTTGAATGTCTCGGTTCAGCGTTTTGACTATGGTGGTTCTTGGATGACCTCTGAACTTTTCGAAGTTAGTCTTTTCAAAGTAAACATCTATGGCTTTGTTTTTATGTGGATGAGTAGGTAATGGCTGCTTCAGTTACTTCTAAGCAGGAACAACTTATTTAAGACGCTGCATACAATATTCGGTCAGATGTCAAGAATCTCATTTATCTTTGTTCAAGCAAGATGGAAACTTCTTGGAAGTATTTTGCGAATGGATCCAGAATGTCCTGCTAACAAAAATATTCTTTCAAAAATTTTGAAACGACCACCGTTTCTCGTTTTGTGCGCATGTGTAGACGTAGCAACATCAAGACAAATGAAATCCTAACAGATTAAATGTGTCACAAAAACTTTTTTCCAATTTGTCATACTAATTTTCTAAATTCTGTTTGTTGATATATAAAACTATACAAAATTTTATATCATTATTTTATATATATATATATATATATATATATATATATATATATATACACACACATATATATATATATATTAAGAAATGGACAAGTCCGAAAATTTATTTATTAAAGACATTTTTATGTTTAACGTTCTTTTTATAGATACAAGTATTTTAGTAAATGCTCTGTTTATAATAAACAATATTAAATAACATTTACCGGCCTGAATGTCCGAGAAATTTTCATAGAAAATATTCGTCCTTTGACAGGACTCGAACCTGCATCCTATACGGAACCGTCATTTACGCTGACGTTTTAACCTCTTGTATCTATAAAAATTTTGTTAAACATAAAAATGTCTTTAATAAATTGTCGGACTTTGTCCATTTCTTAATGTGTGTGTGTATATATATATATATATATATATATAATAAAAAATTGTTGAATTTTTTGGAAAAAAAATCTAAATTATCGTTTTTTTCCATTTTTATTAATTGTGTGTTTGTCCAAAATGTTAAATGTGTGTGTGTGTGTGTATGTATATATATATATATATATGGCGATATATATATATATATATATATATATATATATATATATATATATATATATATATATAATGAATGGACAAAAATCCAGAATTATTTTTCAAAGACATTTTTATAAAAAAAATGTATAAACATAAAATTGTCTTAATATATATATATATATATATATATATATATATATATATATATATATATATGTGTGTGTGTGTGTGTGTGTGTGTGTGTGTGTGTGTGTGCCTATAGGTTGTATCAAAAATACTTTTACAAACTTTGGGGTGGGTTCCTCATATCAATACAAAGACAAATTTTTCATATAGACATAAGTCCGTAAATCCTTCCTTTTTGAGTTAATTTTAAAGAAAATTTTGGGTAGATGGCGCTGTCTTGCAATGTAGACTAGGTTACATTGGTCATTTGTGTACATTTGTGGTTAGTTTGTCTTAAACGTTTAACGTGTGTAGTATTGAGTTAACTGAGAAGTGTTTCGTTTAACAATAGCAGGCTATTCATATCATGAGCAAGCAGATATGACTTTTACATACGGCCGCCCGAATAGTATTGGACGCAAGGCTGCACAGCTGTATAAGATAGGGTTTCCAGACCGAATGCAGCCGTGTCATTCAACCTTTGCTGCTGTTCATTGTCCCGATGATGAGACAGGATCCGTGGCACCACAAATTATAGCTCGAGGAAGACCTAGATTCGCTGATACTCCTGACTACGAAGAAAATATTCTACAGGCTGTCGGAGACGATCCCGGTATCAACACACTTCAAGTGGCCCTAACATGATGTTCATCACATAGTACCTCATAGAGGGTACTTTAAGAGCACCTCCTGTATTCGTATCTTTTGCAACATGTGCAGGGTCTTTCGCCCTCTGATCACTCACCATGGGAGAACTTTTACTGCTGGTTTATTGCACAAACTGCCGATCCGTTATTTGTCTCTTCAGTCTTGTTTACGGATGAAGCAACATTTGGAAGAGATGGAAAAACAAATTTACACAACCAACATTTATTGGCGGATTGGAATCCCCATGGTACAATACAGGCTTTACGATTAATGTGTGAACTGGAATTGTAGGTGACTGTCAGGTAGGTCCATATGTTCTTCCAGCACGTCTTACAGGAGCTGTCTACAGAAACTATTTCGAACATACTTTAAGACTTGCTAGAGGATGTATCCATACTGATACGAAGACACATGTGGTTCATGCCTGATCTGGCTCCAGTACAGTTTAGTCACATCGTGCGCGATATACAAGCTAGCATCAACCATGAAAGATATATAGGCGAGAACCGGTTCCATAGACTGCACGTTCCTCTGACCTCAGTCGTTTGGATTTTCATCTGTGGGACCACTTAAAACGATTGGTTTTGGCAACAGACATTAATAATGCAGAGACACTTCATCAATGTGTCATGGAGGCCTGCGAAACCATTCGACACCGTGTGGGAGTATTTGAAAGGGCCCGTTAGGCAATGATCGGACGGGTGTTTGCGTGTGTAGAAAGAAGAGAAGGAAATTTTGAACATCTGTTACGAGTTGCTTTGTTGTGTTACAACGATGGCCTTTTAGACATATGGTTATATAGACATTTTATCTTATTTTGGTGTTAGGAAACCAAAAGTTTCTATCGAGAAAAATCTCTAGTAATATACAGTGATCTGAGTTTACTAGCAGAATTATAAAATTGATTCAGTATATTCATCCCACTCTATGTCAGTGGAACATATGAGACTAAGAAGCCACAGTGATTTGCTCTTTTGGGGGTTAGCATCAGCCATGCCGATGGAAGCCAAATAGTTCTTTAAGATGATTAATAGAGATCAGAGTCTTTTTTTAGAGACTTCAATATTAACAAGACACGTTTTTCCCCATTTAGCAACAGATTATAGGTCATTTTTGAGACCAGCGTCTAATTTTATTCTATCGACTCTATCAGACTTACTGTCAAGATTTGGGGGATAATAAGGCAGAGAATCAATCAGTGGATCCAAGTTTTGTGATGTCAACGAATACTCGTTGTCACTTTCATATTGCTGGTTGTAGTAGAGACTTTGAAATCGCAGATACAACTATAGTAACGCCGTTGAACAATGCTAGTGTCAGACGCCTTCGAATAACACTCCCACTAATCGTACTACTGCTAATACTCGCTCGAATAGAAATCCGTATCGTGGACCGAAAAGAAAAATAGTATAGTGAATAGAGTAGGGAATAGCGGTCCGAATAGCAATATGCGACTAGAAATACACGTTTTTCAGTTGTTAAAACCATATTGGGATAAAATCTCGAATATATAATTATATGGTTAGAAAATTCACTGTAACTTTCCAAACACTCGTTACTATAAAAATGCATTAGAAATAATATTACTATAAAAATGCATTAGAAATAATATTACTATAAAAATGCATTAGAAATAATATTACTATGAAAATGCATTAGAAATTATTTCACTTTGTTTTGTGATGTCAACGAACACTCGTTGCCACTTTTGTGATGTCAACGAATACTCGTTATCACTTTCGTAATGCTCGTTGTAGTAGAGACTTTGTAATCGCAGATACAACTATAGTAACGCCGTTGAACAATACTGGTGTCAAACGCCTTCGAATAACACTCGCACTAATAGTACTTGCTCGATAATACTCACTCGAAAAGTAACCACTGAATAGTAATCCGTATAGTGATCGGTGTGGACAAATAGTATAGTGAATATTATAGGGATAGAGGATAGTGTAGAAAAAATGATCCGTATAGTAATAGAGGATAGAATAGAAATGGTGATCATTTAGATATCACGCAACCCCCTACTTATGCGTATCCTTTATGGTCACGTGGAATGGAATCCAAATGGAATCGCCTGCGTTTGCTCTCTGGTGATCTTCTGTGTTCCAACTCCAGTGTCAGCA